AGAGAGGTCTAGATCGTCGGCGAAGGGATGACTGGTTGACCAAAAGGTTGACCGGTATGCTTAGGATAGTATACCGGTAAGCATACCGGTCAAACTATACCGGCGACTAATTCACCCTACAAAGATGGCCACGCCAACCTGCAAGAACCAACCGGTGTAGTTCCTAGAGATTGGGGAAGTGTCGGCAAGAGGAATCCAAAAAGACTTGGACTGTAGTGTTTGGAATTGCAGGGATGCTGAGGGAATATTTCCAAACCAGAACGCGACAAGGGTGCCACCCCCCGCGCAAGATGACAAGGCAGCTCAGAGCCAGTCACTTCACACCACGCCAGCAGCATGCCCCCACGTGGGCGCACGTGGTCCTGCTCCCCAGCCTAGTATATATACCTCTTGTAACCCTCGAATGGGGGGATCCGAATTCACTCTCTCTAAACTCCCTTGTAAAAGCACCCGTGCATTCTCCGTTATAATATAAATCGGGCTACAGGTGTTCCACCTAAAGTCCTACCGGTCAATTTGCGTGTTTTTACCTTTCTTACTTTGCCAAATCAAGCGAACTATTCTAGACCCGGTCTAGTATAGTTTGACCGGTCAAGTAATTTACACCATCAACAAGTAATACACGAATACACCTAGAAAATAAAATTTACGTGCGCCCAAATTTTTATTGTTTGTGTGTATGTAAAATGTTTGAGGTCCAATTGAGGTCACCATTTTGGTACCCCACACCATTGATCATAACCGTTGAATTTTTAATTATTTTTAATTTTTTCATTCCACACTTGAGATTGTGTGATAAAGATAAAGTGGTGTACACTTAAGATACATTTTTTGGTGTACCACTATTATTTTTCTTTTATCGCTTTTTATTTAAAAATACCTTTTTTCGCCCATTTTGTGAAATATCTCTCCTACATTTGTGGGGAGAGACATTCAAAAACTGTACTTCAAATTGTTAGGTGTACTCAAAAACTGTACTTCAAAATGTACACCAAAAATTTACATTTACATTTTGATATTTTATATTGATACAAAATGTCAGTACGATCACAAAATTTTTCGCAAACATTTTGTGTCATGTAAACTATAAATCTCGCAATTACATTAACACAGAATGTAAGTCTGACTTTTAGAGCACATTTTGATGTACAATTTTTGGAGTAGAAATAGATTTATTCAACCACATTGCAAATATTTATTTATCCACACTTATAATGCATAGTCGTAAACGAGAAAAATAGTCAATATTTTCTTTATTTTCCCTGTTTATAAATAAAAGATTAATTTATATTCTTCAATAATAATCTAATATAACCATGCGGGGTAGCTCTCTCTTTTTTCTCTGCCTACATCACCCAGGCTCAAACAAAAACTTTCAAATTTGAGGATATCTAGGGAATGCTATGAATGTGACAAAATATACATTGAGTTAGATTAGTTCATTACAGCAAAAACAGAGTTAGATTTTATATCTTACAAAAAGCCATATTTAGACATGGTTTTGGTGTCTTGGATGAAGCCAAATCTCCAGTCACCCACCCCAAAACGAGATTTGGCCGATTCAGACACACCATAAAACCAAAATGTAGAGGTACTTAGTGGGTAGAACATCCAAAAAGACTAGGATTCTACAAAGCAGAAACAACTACGAAAAACAGTCATACGGTTCACCTCTTGTACTGAAACTTCACCTTCACTAAGAACTGCAGCTTGACCTGAATAAACAATGAATAATAATCTGTAAGGATTCTGTGCTTCAATGTGTTTCAATGCATGCCTCTATATGTACAGTAGAATGTATGCCCCCAGCCCGAAAAACCCCAAAAGCATCGATGATTCTAAAGATTAATATTGCCAAAAAAAAGTTACAAGCAAGTTAAATATGACAGTTTGGTTACAACAGATATTTTTAAATGATCTTCTATATTTCGGGATATTCCAAATTTAGTCCACCACTTTATGAAATTCCATTGGAGACTTGGAGGCCCAATTTAATTGTGAGCAATGCCAATTTTAGTTCTCTTTCCATCAAATGTCCTCAAAACAGTACACACACTAACAAAGGACTAAAAGTAGCAATTGTATGCTTTTGTGCTTTGGGTTTCGTTCCCCTTGTGTTAGTTGTGTGCTTCGTGTGTTTGTGGTTCAACTTTGCTCTTGCTATTGTATTAATGTATTTTCTCTGTATGGTTACTTTGTTCACTATGTGTGTTTGTATTAGAGTCAAGGAGGATCCTTTGAAAAAGTCTCTCTAATTCCGGGTCCGGGTAGGGGTAATGTCTGTGTGCAGCACACATCCTCCTTAGACCCTACTTTTGTAGGAAGGTTTGTAAGTGGTGGTCGTGTTTAATAACAAAGAAAACTAAAACCTGAAAAAATGTTAACAATTAATGTGGACCACCAATGGAATTTCATTAAGTAATGGATGGACTAGAGACAAAATGCAGAAAATCCTTAATTATAGAGGACCATTTGTGGAAATTACTCTTTTTTAAAATATGATTTGATATTTTTTAACATTTCTACCTTGCCAAAATTAACAAGTTGCACCTTTGAACAAAGGCCAAACATGACTCCTTATTTGGGGGGATGAATGGAGCCATTTATACACAGAAACATGTAAGTAACATATCAGAATGCTCACCTGTGCAGCATCATAGACAATATATTCATTGTATAGAAGCTCTGATCCCTTCACTTTTGATGGCACCGGTTTTCCACAAGGCACAACTACTTCACCCCTCCACTTGGCATAGTCAGATTCTTCGGGTACTGTCATGCCAAGACCTTTTGTGGAATGTTTCCCTCTTGGGGGCTTGTCCATGTACTAGATTCAAGCAAAAAAAGAAATCACAGGGCTACAAAGTAAAAACTCAAGAAAGTGATACACAACCAAGCATGTAAGAATCAATAAAAATGAGGAACAATGAATCAATGATGCTCCTTCCGTCCCATAAAGAACTATGTTGTTTGATATTACGGAGTTAAAGAAAAGTATTGAAAAGTGAAAAGTGTGTGGGTGAAATTGGTTAAGAACAGATCAATTCTATAAGCAACATACTTCTTACCTTTTGAGCAAGTGTGAAGTTTTTTGGGACATCCAAATAAGATAAATATGAAGTTCTTTGTGGGATAGAGGGAATAGATAATAAGATAGATAGATATAGATCCATAGATAGATAGACATACTTGAGCATTTTTTAGCTCATAGATATTTCCCAAAGCAACTTCACTGAGCAGCATAAAGCCCACAGGATTATTCCGGTTTGTGAAACAATACTGAGCACTCTTACTGACCATGTCAGCAAAGTAAATTCCCTTGCCAAACTGCAGGTCATAATATTATTAAGAAGCTCAGTACATAGCCTATAATATATAGTTTTTTCACATGTCTAAAAGGGGTAGGTATAACCAGACATGCCAGGTGTAGATAGAGTGCAAGAAAGAGAGAATAGAATGGTGGAAACAGACCATATATCCAGTAGTTGGGGCTTCTGGAGGAGCAATCCTCAGTCCTTGGCTAAGAATGCCCACAAAATTTGTCAGGCGTGAACCTGGAAGTTTTTTTTTATATAAACAAGTACCCTGTTACATTTTACTTCTACTAATGTCTGAGACTTGAAATGAATATATCTTGGAAAGATTTGACTAGTACCATGCCATAAAAGCATTCTATTCTTTAATTTATTTCTCAAAGGAGCAAACTTGTCGAATTCCCCTTTTCGTTCTAGAGAAAACACTTCTAGCACTTCGAGAGACCAGTCCTGAGGAAAACAAAAAAACAATCTTCTATTTATTTCATTCCCATTATATGTTTTACTCATCAGTTAGATCAAATTTATTAGAAACAAATGGAATGGAAAAGACACAACAGAGGTTTGCAAACGTAGCAAAACATATTCCATCAACAAATAACAAAAAAATAGGCAAAGGTATTCTACTCCGTAAGAATGATAATGTAAAGCATCTAAAGCCACCTTATGAGTGGGAGCATGAGTAGATTGGAGATACTTCTCAACCAAATGGTAATCTTCACAGTCATGAGGAATAGGAGAAATTTCACATCGTAGTTTTTCATACTTCTCATCCAGGGAAGAATTATCATCACCACCAAGTCCTACAAGTCTTGAAGCAATCTCAATATCTTGAAGAGCTTCCAGCATTTTCACCTATAAAAAACAAATGTAGATGTTTACAGCAACTTGGATCAGCTTTAGGAGATAAAAACAACCATTTGCCACCAATTTTACAGGTAATAAATATGTTGGACAGTTGGAGTAATATGGAAGTATCCCACAACTAATATTGGTTTCAGGCTTTTTTTTTATTTGAATGTTATCGGTTTCAGGAATTAAAATTGAAAGTTGCACTTAAAAAATAATATTCTTTCAACTGGTTTAGAAGGTATTCGAATCTTAGTTGTACATGTCACATGTGTAATTAGTTCGATAGAGCAAATCACAACTTCACAATTGTAGTTCACCTTTGATTTGAAATCATCCTCATCCTTGATCACATGCGGATGAATTGAAGGAATCATGGTAAAGAAACGGTTGCTGGCATCAATTAAGAGATTTTCCTTGAAAGCAGGATCAACATTGTTCTTTATTAGCAAATTTTGAATCTCCGTTAATGCCTCAAAACCTAAAGACACCATAAAATCCCACTACAAAACTCAGTCTCCCAAGCAAAGTGGTGCACTTAAATGCATAAACAAAAATAATATACATGAAGAATCCATAAAAAAGAGTATTCAATTAAGGGAAGTAAAATTACTTAACCTTTTTGTATATTATTCTTGCTCAGCTTTCCTAGTGGCATTTCAGACAAATTGATCTGGAACTCCATCATAGCAGCCCTGCAAACAATCAATTCACTCAGATGCATTCTCTAGATTCTAGAAGCCAGGAAAATTTAATGCTCTTCTGACCTGTATGTCTCTGTGTTAAAAAGCAATTTCAACAATTCAATTAGTTGAGGCACCAATTTGCTATTTGTGTAGTCAAGGTTTTTCTGCTTTGAAGCACTTTTATCAACTCCATAATCCTGGATAGTCAAAACCATACTCCATGTAAGTTGAGTGTAGGGAGAATTCATCCTTCATATTTCAATTAAAGTCAAAGTGGTAACTGCCATACAATGTCTAATGGATAAAATCTGCCAGGTTGCTTCTGAAAATCTACTTTTCCTTCCCATGCTTCCCATGAATTGCCAGTCTTCTCAAGAAACAAGCGCTCGAAATTTAATATGGCATCTGACTTTGGCATGTTATCAAGTTTGATTCCTCCAATTTTTTCATTTCCAACACGTCCCCATTTTCTGAACACATAGCAATCTGATCCTTTGTCTTCCTCAATGATTTGAAGAATATAGTAACTTCAGACAGCCAAAAAAAGAGGAAAACAGAAAAAGTAACATTGTCAAATGATATTAACTTGCATTAAATTTTAGGTTTAGAAAGTGTTAAGTAGTGCATTGAAAATTAATCAGTGGCTAGCACAGAAGATTGTTTCACATGTGATAAGTTGCAAGACTGGTATCGCAGTATTGTTCTTTTTTTTTAATAGCAGCATTCACTCCATTCAGTTTGACATGCAATAAATATAACAGGAAAAAAACTTTTCTTCCAGTTCTACAACAAAACAGAGGATCACAATAATGGTAAAGGCCACTAGGGCAGTAGGTGTTGGTTTTTACTTTAAAAGCATGATAGCAAAGAGAACTTTCAGTACAAAGTAAAAAAAACATGGCAGAACTAGAATTACCTATTGATACCAGATGCAAGATCAGACATACTTAAAGTTGTATTATAGATGCTATTTCCAGCCTCGAGGATATGCCCAGAGTCTTGTAAACCAGATGACTCGTGTACAGCACTCCTCCCTTTCACTTTGACAGTAACCACACTATGTGACTCTCCAATAGCTTCTACTTTGTACATATCAAAAGGAAGTTTTTTCTTCCTCTCAAAGCAGTCCACTAAATAATCCTCCCGAACAATAGGCAGTTTCATCCTCCTGTCAAAGATGCAACAATGGTTTAGGTGTTGAACATAATCAATGAGCATGCTTTGGCAAGTAAAAAGGGGAGCTTTACCTTGCCTTCTTTATCTCAGCATCACTGCTCTCCAGCATTCCACTCACAACTAAGCAGCTTGTGTCTGTAGCAGAAGCACAGAAGAAGGCTTTGCTCGTGAATGATCAAAAAAATAAGCATTTTGATAAAAATTGGAAGAATTATTGCATACCTTTCTTTATCTTGGCATGAACTAGAGCACCCGCTTCCTTAACTTTTTTCTTCCACTCTGCCTGCAAAAATCACATAACAAAATTTGCAATGGGCATTCTTAAATGGTTATTAAAATTGGAAAGGAAAAACTAAAAGGTCTTTTGAAAAACAATATGACATGGAAACTGAGAGCATTTGAAAATTACTAACCATAGAGTCACTGCCCATTCCTGCAAAAGCTACTTTTAGGTCTCCTAAATTATCACCTTCAATTGACTCGCCCATTTTGTTCATAGCTTTGCTGGTAGATGGTGAGGTGCATGAAGATGGCGGCATTATTCTAGCCATCTTCTTTGTCTTTTGTGACTTATACCACTGAGAATGATCAAAGAAACTTTAAGGAAACACCAAAAAACAGTAGAAGACATTAAATTTGGACCATGCACTTATAAAGCAACATTTTGTTCCTCCACACTTCATATGGCATTATTTTCTCCAAAATAATAGCATCAACAAAGTTTAAATACAACAACAACAACACAACCCAGTTGAATCCCACAAGAGTAGGGTTTGAAGAGGGTGTTTGCACGCAGAGCTTACCCCTACCCGAAAGTAAAGAGGTTGTTTCCAAAGAGACCCCAACTCAGCATTGAAAGTTGCATTAATAGACTAACTGCTACTTCATCGACAAATTTTAAATATTTCACATTTATACGAGTATAACTTTATTTCATTAGTTTACAACAACTCAATGGGAAGTCATTATTAGTTTTGGTTAATTGTGGTTATATATATCTTTGACATCACGTATTGGTACTTATTAAATTGAATACCTTGAGTAGATACTCATTACTGGTCCCTTCAGGGATTTTCCACTTCTCATTGACACGTTTAGGTTCAGTTGTAGAGTACGAGCACTTGCTCCATGCTGATGAATAGCCATGGCACTTATACTTGCCTTCTGAATAAGAAAGGTGACCAGAACAAATTGGACATCTAGTGAGCGCTCCAAAAAGCATCCCGTCAGCACTGAAAAAGAGCAGATGCAAATAAAATGGATAAGTTCAAAAACAGAAATGTGTATTACAAAGTATACAAACCATTTCTCACTGGAAGCAATAAAGCTAGGCATTTGACAAAAGAAAGTGGCCCAAAAGGTTAGTAAACAAAAACCATATGACACGTTGCCAACAAACATTTACAGTGATTTCACTCTTAAACATTGAATTACTTCTCCATCATTCTATAAGTTTTTTTTTGTATAGCAAATTTCTAGCACCATAATCAGGAACAGTAAACACTTACTAGAGTAGATATTGAGGAACTATGCATGCATCATAATTCTAACTGCAGCTCAATTCCTAAACCTTCTAATAGGCAAGTAAAACAAACTACCATCTATCTCGTAAATCAAGTTCCGATCCTGTGGAAGCATGGTCATTGCATTCAAGCATCTCACGTAATTCTGCTGTACTCACGTGCTTCTTCAACTCATCCTTAAGATCCCATAGAGCTTTGGTTTGTGCCTTTAGTTGGCTTTCCCATTCAGATGTTTTTTTCTCAACATCACTTGCAAAAGTTTCGGGTTCAGTTTTAGCAAGCTTTGATTTCTGGTCATTGTTGCTGGATTGCTTCCTTTTAGCACTTGTAGATGTGGATTCTTGTAAAAGTTCATCTTTGGAAACTGTGATTCGGACAGAAGACAAAACAAGCACACTAAGAGAAAGGAAATGAGAGAGTAGGATATGGGCAAAATGAATTTCAATGCACCTTTTACAGTAGAATTCTTAACAAGGGAGCAAACAGCTGTCTGATCACTGGTGGGAAGGCTCTCCCATCCCGGCAACTTATCGACTTGGATATCAGGAGACATATCCACGAAACATTTAGCATGGTGCCATGCCAAAGACCTGGCTGCCTGACCTTTAGCCTTTGATGATATGCGGACCTATTCCACAAATACATACATACCTTTAAACAACAATGAACCAACTACCAAATTGGTCAAGGTGTTTGCTTAACCGTCCATCAATGAAAAATGAAACAACATTTTTGAAATAATCACTGCGCGTTTTTTCATGTAGGTGTGCAGATATATTTATTTTAACATGAAACTTCAATGCAGTAAGAAAATTAAAAAAAATATGCCTTGGAACATTTACTAGTGAGCAAGTGACCTTCATAAAATGAACAATCATTTAAAGATGCCATGATCATTGATCACTACATACTTACATGACAACAAGACAAACCTTTGATATATTATGTGTCAAGAGTTGTTAATGAATATAAGAGCTGACCTCTCCTTTCATAATCTTTGCATTGCAGCACCTACAGGTAGCACGAGAAGTTGGAGAGGTTTCGACACCATATTCCATTGCATCTGGGGTAGGGGCACTTGAGGACTCATCACTCTCTACATATTTCCTAATCTTCTCTTGATCCTCCCAACGAAGTGATTCTAATCCTTCAACATCATCAGTGCTAAAAACATAATAAAGAAAATCAAATTTAAATTGCCAAAACATGTAAATAGTACAGTACAACTTTCTTTTCTATGGTGCCAAAAGTCACAAAACCAAGACCAAAGTAGGGAGCAGAACACGTACGTTTTTATCTGCTTTGCCTTTCTTAGGATGCAGCTAGCATGATTCCACATCTAAATCCATGAATAAAAACAAATTAGACACAATGTACTAAAAAATGAAATACAGCTGTCAGAAGAAAAATCATAAGTGGAATTGATGTGTTGCTCCCTATAAAGAATGGTTCTTGGAAAGAAGCATTAGTCCTAAAAAATGTATACTCTGTATCTGCTTTGGGAACTAGGTTTCTGCCAACATACCTTGTAGAGAGCACCTAGCACCTATTTTATCGCATGATTAGGGAATAACATCTCCTAATACAACATGTCCATAATCTATATAATCCCTCGTCCCGCAATGAATGTTAAGCTTTCCTTTTTCATCCCAGGAAAAAATAAAATTTACAGTCCTCTATGTGGCTGGCTCATCAGCTTTTCTCCATCCTCTAAACAAATTTTAACCACGCCCTTTTTTATCTTCAACACATTTCTTGAAGAAGTCAAAATGTTCTTTTTTTCTCTAGTGAAGCATTGATTTCAATGAAACTCCATAATCACAGAATGCAAGTATGTAATCTCAACAGGTTCCTCAATGCTCAAACACATAATTAACAGCGTCCATGAAATCAAAACGACGGATGAAGAATGGGTAAAACGGGTGGGGCTTACGGGCATGAGGCCATCGAATTGGGTGGCCTGGACCATCTTGCCTAGCCTGAGCGTCTCCTTGTCAATGGGGTTCTTGCAGGTTTTGCAGGAGGATCGAGAGGACTTGGCGTACTCCGCCTTCCATGGCTTCTGAGGGTTCGCCATTTCTATACCCTCCCCAGAAATTTCAGGTTACAGAGACTCGTTTGATTCTCGGGAGCTCTCTGGCTCAACTGCTGTACTACGCACTGGAGTAGACCGAACGGCCCAATGCTTAGGCGGCCGTGCGGGGGAGATTCAAGAGAGAGTGAAGAGTGTTTGTTGTGAACACTTTTGCCTCCCGGGTCGGGCGAATCTTGGAATATAAGGGGCTTTCCATTATTCTTTAGAACATCTTTATCGACACAGAAAAGGGTGACCCGAATTTGGATAATTCACTTATAGCTCAAATATTATTTCATTGAAATAGAATAGAATGATAAATACGCAATACTTCATCCGCCCCCTGTATTTGTTCACATTTGAGTGTAAGCCTAAATATAGTCATGTGTGATCTTGTTTGATTTGTTTTAACATATAGATTATTAATATATGATTTCTATAATTTTTAATATACAAATTACAAGATAAAATGGATTAAAGAAGTGCATTGGATGGTGTGTAAAAATGAAAGTAGACAAATACAGGGGACGGAGGGAGTAAGTCATTTAGAAATACTCACGAATAGTGATGGCATTTTTGTAAATAATTTGGTTAAAATGGAGAAATGAAAAAAATTAATTTAAAAACAAGTAGCCAAGATCTTGTTTTTTCTAGTTTATAAGTAACTTATAAGCACACAAAAATATGTCATCAGTTGACTTATAAGTTAGAAAGTACTTATATTCAGTTTTGATTGACTTATAAGTACAAGAAAACATCCACATTATCTCATGTTATGGCAAGAAACACAGTATCCAAATTCTAATATTCATAGAAAAAATCATCCATGTTCAATTCTAACAAAAACAGAGACATTAATGAAAGAAAAATAGGAGTTTGTCCCTAGGATTTTGACCAAATAATATCGTCCAATTCCTATAGAACCTATAACTAAACTATCCCTAGAGGGAGATAGGTCTAAGCGTAGCGTTTTTTGATTGTCTGAGAATGAGCAGGGAATAGACATCTTTTTGCAAAACAGGCTGTTTTGGCTCTTTAAGTGTCATTATATCGAGATAAAATATAAACAAAGTCAATAACATAAAAAAAAACTTATCATGTTCTCACTTTTGTTGTGTGTCGCACATACAATAAAAATCTATGTGGTCTGTGCGACGTATAAGATCATTTTTTTGAAAATTTGGAGTTACGCTGGCTTTATTATTTCCATTAGGTGTCTTTCTCATTTTAATACCACCGTGATTCTTTTGACCTTGACACAAAATTACTCCATCCGTCCTATAATGATCTTCCCGGTTCACAAAACGAAGAAAAATCCTAAGTTTTTTCAATCTATTTTATTTAAATATTGGTATACAAATAAAAAATAAAACATACATATTTAAAAACTACATCAAAAGTTCAACAAAACAAGTGGTGACAAGAATATTTTATTTTATCATATAGGCCATGAAAAAACACAAATAAATATAAATTTTCGTGAAGTTGGAATAGTGCTATGGGAAGATCATTTTAGGACGGAGGGAGTACTAGAAAATGACTCAGGTACTTTTAGACACTTACGATACTTCGTTGGTAAAATTGATGATTCTTATCTTTTACTCTTTCCTTTGCATCTCATCCCAACCTCCTAAGTGATAAGATGGCTGAGTTGAGGTGCATGGGAAGAGCAAGAAAATATAAATCATCAATATTACCAATTGACTAATTGAGCACTTTTGTCTCCCAAAATGCATGGCTCATTCTCATATCATTCTTTATTTTTTCTTTACTTTTAAATTTCACACCAAATTTTATTCATATAAATTTAATAATAATTTCAGTCAAACATCGTAAATCGAATAAGAATTTTTTTAGACAAATAGGTATAATATGAAAAGTTCATAAAATAATGTCTATATATAAATTTGAATTTAGATTTAAACATGTACTCCCACCATCAAGATGGAGAGAAAATAAAGATAAAGAAAATTTTAGAGTAAAAAACAAAGAACTCAATGTAAAATCACTTATGTGATTTTTTAAAATATGTACCCGAGTAAATAATTTTTATAAAAATATGATATTTTAAAATTATTCCGAGGTAAATAAATAAACAAAATTTAACACACAAGGAATGAAAAAAGGTGGTTAAAAATTAGTAAAAAGGAAAATAAATTTTTTTGCATCACATAAAAGTATTTTTGTGAGAGGGAGAGAGGACGTGGAGTGTGTGGAATGTGTACAAGTCATAATCACACTAGTCACGAGGACTCACGACCGTCACTCAACTAACGGCGCCGGGGCGGAAAGCGTGAACCCGGCCCACAGAACCAGGTTACAATCCAACGATGCCGTCACGGTGAACGGTGGTTTCGTATATGAGTGAAATTGGTAAAGAAAAAACTGGCAATTGACCCGCGCTATTAATACTCTCCAGCTCCGAGCATTCACACCAATCGCCGCCCTACTCCGCATCTCCTCCGCCGCTCCGATTGGATCAACGGCAAAGGTACGCCGGCCGACGGCCATTAGTCCATGTAGTCTAGGGTTCTATGTTGCGCCGATCTAGCAGTATTCGTTCTAAACGTTTTTCTTCCCATCTGTGCTCGGTAGAATATGCTGTTTCGTGTTACGGATCGTAATTAAAAATCCAGATTTTTATTTATCGTGTTTTGAATTTTGTTTTCTACTCCGAATCGATTGATTATATGGATTAGTTCCCCTTCCTGATTAGCTTACATTTGCTGTGTCTCGCAGTCAGCTGCCTAGTTTCACGCCTCTGGAATAGACTCCGCCATGAATTCTCGAAGGTAACACTGCTCTCTCTTGAAACAGTTGTGTTGTTCATTTGGGGTTACATATCTGACTGTGTTCGGAATTGTGAATAAGTGAATCAGGAGCGAGATTTTTTACCATGTATTCTTCTAAGGTTCAGTGTGATTTTGTTTTTTGAATTTGAGATCCCTAGATTTGGTTAAGTAGTTGTAGCTGCAAGCTTACATTTAGGAATTCTATGTTTGTCTTCTTCTTATGTAGCTAATAATGCTTGCTTGGACATTACTTGATGTCACTGATGTCAATCAATTCAATAAATAACGTTAAAAATATCTGAATTCAGGGAGCGTGGTGCTAGAGCTGCTCTATTTGATGGTATCGAGGAAGGTGGTATCAGGGCTTCGTTGTCATATTCTTCTCATGAGATTGATGAACATGAAAATGAAAAGGCACTAGATGGGCTGCAAGATAGAGTCGTTCTGCTAAAAAGAGTATGCTTTCATTTCCCTACTAACTTTTCAAAGATAATTTATGTTTTACTTTCTCAAACGCCTCTAATTTGAGCAAAGCTATATCTAGAACAGTCTAGCATAAAAAAAGGGCTGTATATGAATAGAAAACACTCCAACTGCATGCTTTTTTTGGACATGGGTGCAAGTTGGTAGGGTTTGATGTGAATAGGAGGCTGGAAGGGTCTAGGAAGAGTGGTGTTTTGGTTGTAGGATGATGAGAGATTTGCCTTGCTGTGGAAGTGTAACTTGTTCTTGGCCATTGATTTGTTTCTAATCTCGATTATTAGAAAAACAAACAGTTTCCTTAGTACACTTTAGTTTTTCTGATGCATTTTTCCATGTCTATATTGTTTTATCTACATTTAGATCAAACCATTTTCACATATAGCATACTAAATGAGAAATAAGATTGAACAAGTTGTTATTACAGCTGTCAGGTGACATACACGAGGAGGTGGAGACACACAACCGCATGCTGGACAGAATGGTATTACATCATACATTAATGTTATAGCCTAGAAAATATTCCATTTTAGGTCCCGCGGCTACTAGGTCATCTTCAAATTTTGCTCCCAACTTCCATTTTTTTCACTTTTGTTGCACAACCGTAAATTTCATGCCACTTTTGGTCCTTGTCATCATTCTTTTGGCAAAATATTAAAAATACAGGCTAGAGAAGTTATCAAAAATGACCAAGTGAAGTGGGAAAAAACTAAAGTTGGAGACCAAAAGTAAAAATAACCTATAGTCATATATCCTACGCAGTTATCATGTTTCATAAATTTCATTTTATTTCATGATTAGGGCAATGACATGGATTCTTCAAGGGGAGTGTTAGCTGGAACAATGGACAAATTTAAGATGGTACGTTGAACTCGCTCGTTTTTATCGCTCTCTCCCTCACAGCTTGAAGTATTTATGCACTGAATCCCTTTCTTGTTTTTTGTTTTTGTTTTTTTGTGTGTTTTGTTGTTTGCTTTAAGGTATTTGAGACTAAATCAAACCAAAGAATGTGTACTCTTGTGGCATCGTTTGTGCTTCTCTTTCTGGTGGTGTACTACCTGACTAGGTAAACGGTGTGTGACCAGAATTGGGATCTCTCTCTAATCTTCCTGTCTATATGGCCACCCAAAGTGATATGAAAAAAATGTGTATCTGTATAAAGTTGTTTGGTGCCAAACACTTTTTTAGTACTCTCTGGTGTGTGTTGTGGAATGGATAATGATATATAAGCTTTAGAGATTGCTACCTTTGTTCAAATAGGATTCAGGAGCATAAAACTCCTGTCGAGATATTTCTTTAATAATGAAAGAAATTTTGAAAAAAGATAAGAGAAAAAGGCTCATTTGGTTCTGTTTTTGATTTTTTTTTATTTTGACTAGAATTTTTTGGTGTAATACTTATACTTTGTTTTTGGATCCGAGGAGAATCCATTTGTCAGTTCTTTGAGGATCAGAATGGATCAAAAGCAGAAATCAAACCAAACGAGCCATAAGACCAAATTCAATTTTTTAATCTTAGATATCGTTTGTATAAGATTAAAAAAAATATTTTGTATGGAGTATATATTTTGAACTTCTTCCTTTGCTTGAGTCTTTGCTTGAGTGGTATAGGAAAAACTCATTGGGAAGTTGATCTAGTTTTGAGTTCCAACGGAGGCGGAGACATTGGTTTATTATGCGTCATGCGGTTGAGAAAAGTATGAACATCAATACTACATTGTGATTGAGTTAATAGCATTCTAATAAATAAATAAAAATGTAATATATTTTTATTTTAGAACATTGATACTACTACATTGTAATTTGTAATTAAGTTAATATCATTCAAAAAAATAAAATAAATAAAAGTGTAACATTTTTATTTAAATAATGTTTAAAAATTATCTAGTTTGATCTAAAAAAATTAAGCCGAATGAATATTTTAGAACAAAGTTATTTATCTTATTATAAAATTAAGTTTTCAAATGATATGGGTAATACACCATCGGAATTATCATTATATTGAATTA